ATGTGTCAATATTGTTCTTGTGCTGGAGGGAGCCCCAAACTGTTGACAGTTCTGAGATGAAGTGTTTTGAAAGATCATTTCCCTGGCTCAAGACATTGCTGGCCACAATGCTGACACACATTCCAACTCTCCACCAGGACACCCAGGTCATTTTGTTATTCCAAACAGCTCCCAGCCTGGACTGTTGCATGGAGCTATTCCTTCTCAGATGCAAGACCTTGGAAATGCTCTTGTGGAGCTCTCTCTGAGAGAAGAATTCAGCCAAATTCAGCTTTCAAAATGCAACAAAAGAATGTAAAATCTAGAGAGCTACGGTGGGAAAGAAGCCCAGTGCTGAGAAGTTTCTCGAGGGAAATGAGAGAACCAGATGGAGATGATCATTTCAGTTACCTCTAGAAGTTACTCACAATGGGAAGGAAGCATTACAGAAATGCTTAGTTGGCTAAATATTCTTCTATCAGTATTTAAGGAGTTGGTTTGGTCTTCTGTCTTACCATTTTGAAAAAAACAGTATTTGTGCTGATTTCATAAGAGGTTTCCGCAACTTGCCTTATAAGATTGGTATCATATGTTATTATGTTTGTGCTTGCTTCCCACAGCATTTTAACTTTGTATCTATTTTGATTTGATGACAGTGACAGTTCTAAGTTGCAAACTAAAACCGAGTTTTTCTTACACAATCTTTTGCCCCAGAGGAGCTGCCTGGGAACTCTCACAGACCAAAATATGCAGTACTCCGCAGCCAGTGTATCTAAACTCATTTTGTGCTGGAATCTTCTCAGAAGGAAGATTCTGAATGCCATAGTGATCATCTGGATTTATCAAATTCTTCAGATTGTTTTATTGCATGAAAACCATGTATTAAGACAAGCCTTTCAAACAGTTGCATTGCTAATCCCTTGGCTCTRCAGATTCTATAAATCTTTAAGCCTTTCAAGGTGTATAACCTTTAAGAGTTTGTCATTGCTTCTGTCAGGATGGTGGTGTTCCCTTTGCAAAATATGTAAGCTAGGGTCCACAAAAACCATTTGTGGTCAGAGAATGTAGCTTTGGGATAAACTTCCAACATAGATTAGGCAAATTYGGCCTCTGGCTGCTCTTAGGAATTCTTCAAGTTTTCACACCCCATTTAGAAAACAACCCTTTCACAGATTCAGATACTCCTTTTTTTTTACATGCACAAAGACATTTAGAATAGTTGAATCAAGTTAACAAAATACTTTGCAACAGAACACAACAGAGGAGGAAACCTCAGTGAGGTCCATCAGAGACTGTTACTGAATTACGTGTAAGATGTTCAGATGCTCCTCTCATTGCATGGCACTATTAAGCCACAAGTTATTCGAGTGATTTTTCCAGTACACAGCAAATACCACATGTGATTGGTGGTCTTAGGAATGTGGTCTCTGTARCACAGAAAGGATGTTATTGTAGTGATACAACAGCTTCATGTGATCTATGGTATGAACTTCTGTGTCTGGTGAATGGAAGACAAAGGAATGTATGTAAATTAGTTTTTTGATTTATTTTCCATTATGTGTTGTGAGATGTCTTGGTGACTATTACATCTTACAAGATGACTTAAAGAAGATTCATCTGTGATATCCTTCCATTTACTTTGCTTTCATTGGGGTCTCTTCCCATGTCATTAAAAGGTTTTTGAAAGCAGAAAAACATGAAATGTTGTAAAATCTTCCTGTTTATCATTCCCTAATTAAATGAGAAGCCAACTCCTAGGAGCTGTGGCACAAGTACGGGCTAAAGAAACTAAAAATGTGCAATAAAAATTTGCTGTCCTTAGTCTGAGCAACCAAATCTATTCTGGATTTCCTGTGATTTGGCACAAGTGGTATGGATGATATGCTCAAGGAAGGAGAAGTAATGTCCTGCATGTTTCTTTATTAATAGGCTATTGTAGCCCTTATGCAAAGCCCTTAAAAAGCTGTAAGCACAGACTTGGACACAGTTCAGTTTTCAGCATCTTAACAAGGAAGAGTAATGTTAAAACAATTACCAAACATAATCTAAAGTTGTTCTTCAAGCAACTCTGTGGATTGGGTAAGACTGACTCCCAAGATGGTTTTCCTGCCATTTTGGTGAAGCCAGCCCTGGACACTCCTGGCCAGGGARCAGTATCTGTTTCAAAGAGTTGTTTGGGAGAAATGGAGAACAATTTCCTCTTTAAGACACTTTTTACAGTGCAATCACTGGATCTGGATGCCACCAGGGGTTGACTTGCAACAGCCATGCCACAGCAGCAAGGATGAACCATGGGGCCTATACTGGCTCATAGGCTGATTTGGGGAAGCTGTGGARTCCCAAGTCCCTTCTGCTTTGTGGTGAGAGACTGCACGGTCAGTGGAGTGCTGAGTAGGTTTCAATCATGAAACAGAGAGAAATGTGAAATGTTCTCTTTGTAGGTGTGGCTCTCACCCTTCCTCTTGGCTATTAAACTTGGCTAGGAGGAATCTGGGCTGTGACTGCAGCTGTGGAAGCATGGACGTGACATTTTATCAGCATCTAAAAATTACATTCTTTTCATCTACCACTAAAAAAACACATAACAAAGTGCTCCTTTCTATAATGATGGTATTAAACATGATTCTTTGATCCTACCAGGGCTTAGGATGCCTTTTTTGACAAATGAATTCGCTCTGGTTGCAGCTACTTTAAGTCTGT